TCTATACGGTCCTAAATACGTGAAATAACGCACATGACAAAAAACACGTGAAATAAGGGGGAGGGTGCGGGGGCGTCAAACTACACCACTGAGCACCACAAGGGGGGAGGGGAGGGGGCAGAACCCGGCAAAAAATCCGTCACGTGGTTTGGGTAGCACGGCCCCTAAGCCGCACTCGCGCGTGCGGTACAGCATAACTACAGAAATCAGTGGGGTTCATCAGGCTACATCTAGCACGGCTCACTGTGAGGATCAGAAAACTTTTGAATATATAACAGGGGGGAAGGAGAGGGGAATACACATTCTGAGAGGGCTTAACGTTTCCTCGTGTCACATCGCCAGGGTTTGCGTTGCCTCGGCCGTTGCGAGGGCAACTCAACGTCCTAATGGCCCCGGAGAGTCTCCGCACTCCGCACTCTCCGGCCGCGCCGACTTGTCTCTGTCGGCGGGCACGCTAGTGCGGGCACCGCGGCGAGGTGCACAGTGCGAGAGGGACGCCCACGGCCCGAGAGGATTACCATCGCAACTCAAACTCGCCGGTGGGAGTGCGAGACGTAAACGCCGTACACGCGACCGCGTTCGATCCTGACTGGGTACCCAAAGGGTTGGCGGGTCGGCCGGAGCTAAAGGGCCCCGCCCCGCACTCCGCTCTACAAGGATCCGGCGCGGGCGAGAGGGCCGGACGCGTCCGGACTTTGAGACAGGCGAGCAGAGCGTGTGGGCAGATAGCTGGATTGCAGCACCTCTAGCGGAGCTCCAACGCCAAACCATGACCCTGATCACGTGAACTTCCCCTTCCCCACCGAGTTTATTTTTGTTGTTGTTGTTGTTGTTGTTGTTGTTGTTGTTGTTGTTGTTTGCCCCCGTCCCTCCTCCCTCTTCGCCACCCTCTCCGTCATCTGCTTTGTGTCTCTTTCCTCGCCTAACGCCGGTCGCCGTGGCTGGCATGCCATATTTACTCGTCAACGTCGTAGGCGGGGCGTGGCGGGGCGTGGCGGGGCGCGGCGGGCGCGGAGGGGCACGGCGGGCCATTGCGGTGAGGGGTCAGCTCGTGGCGGGCCGAGGCTGGGCGACGCGGCGTAAAGCGGGCCAGCTGGCCGCTTGCACAACGACTACACTGATAAACCAAGTGTGCAACTGCTCAACACTTGTAAGTGTGCAACTGCTCAATACTTGTAAGTGTGCAACTGCGTTCTAGCGCACTTGCAAGTGCAAGTGTCCAACTTGGTGGTGGTTGTGAATGTGTACGTGTTCAACTCGACAAGTTCACAACTGTCGAATTTAACACTTGCAAGTATCCATCAGTGTACAGCTTGCTCCGGCACGACCACCCTGTCCTCCAGGTCCTCCAGGTCCTCCTGGTTCCAGGGTGAGACCGGCGTCCTCCCAGGCCTCAGGCCCCAGGCCCCAGGCCCGCATCAACCAACCACCCCGCCGCATGCGAGACTCGCCTGCTCTGTAAATATCGTTTGGCTCCGCCTCGGACCTCCTGGAAAACAATATCAAATATTAGCCCTGTCAATACTTGACGCACGTACGTAGCGCGCGTCTCGCCCAAGGAGACGCGCTGGGCACTGCGCGCGCTTCAGGCCCCGGAGTGTGTGTGGGTCGCTGGTGGGGAGAGCTTTGTCCAGCAGCGTCACGGTGTCCTCGCCCGCTTACCCGCCCGCGTACTCAAGGGGTTGCTGAACCTCGCGGCGACCCGGCCAGGGCGCGCCCCTCCCATCCCGCGCCTGCTACCAGCCGAGGGCAGGGCAGGCACAAATCGACCCTCGCTGAGCCCTCCTCCTCGGCCCGACGGCAGCAGGCAGCACCGGAATAAATAAACTAAGTTTGCGTGGAGGTACGAAGTCTCCTTCCAGGACCGTAAACAAGGCATTTGATTGATTGGGCCGCGGTGGTGCGAGCGAGGGTCCCGGGCGAGGACGCGCCCCCGCGGCCCAACAACAAGCCCTCCAGAGAGGAGGGGGAGGTTCCCTTCCAGCGCCGCCCGGCGCGGCGGTCCGGAGAAAGCGCGACAAATCTTCTGCCCGCGGGCGGGACGTGTCACGTGTGGTGGAAGGAAACGACGAACTGACAAATTTAGGAGCGAATCGTTGACCAAACTGGTCCCGCGGCCCGCAAGGTCGACGGGAGGCCGGCGGCCGCGGCGGCTCGGCGCTGAGCTTTCTAACGACAAGGTACAGGAGAGGGGCGCGGGGAAGGGGTGTATACGTCATTTGGCCGAGTCAAGTCAACGCGGACGACCTTTTTTGCGTCACTGGTCTTGCAATCTTGCCTCCGACCTCTGGACGAGCAGCCTCCAGCACCCGGCATTACTGGAGTTTCTCCAGCAGATCCGGCAGCTGGGCTGGGAGTCCTCTTCCTCTCGAAAGCCGCCCTGCTGGACCGGAAAGCCCGCGATGAAACGGTGGCCCAGCGTGCTCCGGGAGTGCTTCGCACAGTCGAGAGAAGAGGACAACTGAACTGGAAGTGGGAAGAGAAGTGGGGGGGGGGAGTGAATAGGAAGACGCGTGCCTCGCCTCGCCTCGCCTCCCCGCCCCGCGCACTGGACGCCCGTCCATCACGACCTTTGAAGGTAGCAGTGCGGCCGCGGTGGGGCCCCGGACCCGGGCCTGTCTGTAGCCCTCCGAAGCCGCGTTGCAAACGGGGCGACGTACTACTAGGTACTACGTTCTGTACATTTGGCAGCGGGGACTCGGCGTAGCTGTGCGAGCGGAAAGTAGAGGGGAGGGGGTGTGTTAGGCAGTATCCCCTCCCCTCTAATTCTCAGGTTCGCTCTACGCCTCCCTCTGCCCATGCGAGCCCGGCAGATGCGCGCGGGTCTCTGAAGCTTCTCCTTTCGGACCACGCCGTGCTGCTCAGCAGAGAAAGGACCGTGCCGAGGCCGTGGTTGTGGCTTCGAACCCAGCCGCGGCCATCCGTGGGCGCGTGGTAGAGAAGGCCGAAACAAAACCAGCACGGCTCGCCTTAGGGCTTCGGTCAGTGCGGCCGCACCTCTGGGCCGCGCCGATACTTCACCGTATTGGCCTTGCATTGCTCTTGCTTTTGTTTATGCCCCTTGCGGCGGTTTATTTTCGAGTAGCCCCGGTGCGACTCTGAAAATAAACGCTGCGTCCGATGCCCGCCCCGCCCCCGGCGTGACT